GATAATCTATACACTTTCCCATAGATCCATCTTTCTTTTTAACAAATAAGACCGGAGCACCCCAAGGTGAAGTGATGGGTTGAATAAATCCTTTATCAGTTAAATCTTTCAACTGGGCAATTAATTCCTTTAGTTCTGACGGAGCTAATCGGTATGGCGATTTGGCTACTGGTGCTACCCCTGGTATAAGATTTATTCTGAACTCGATAACCATGTCTGGCGGTAATCCAGACAAATCTTCTGGAAAGACTTCTGGGTATTCATTAACAATCAGAATTAATTCTTTTTTTCCCTGCTCTTTTTCAAATCAATCCCATATGCCAAACATCATTGACACTTCTTTCGGATACACTTCTAAGCTTTCAACATAGTCAAGAGATTGGTATGATGATTCTGACGATCACCATAGATAACAATTGTTCCTCTCTCTGGAAAAATGATTCTGATCATTTTCTTATTACAAACAATATTGGCCTGATACTCTGCCAACCAGTCCATACCCACCACTACATCAAATTCCTTCATCGGCATTGGGAATAACCGAATTGGTAAATCACACCCCTCAATAACAATAATGCAGTTACTGAATACACTAGTAACAGATTCATGACTATTAACAGTATCAATTACTAATTTGTCATCAAGTAGCACAGAATTCAAACATGCAATTTGAGCAAACGATGGTGATACAAACGAAAAGTTTGCACCAGAGTCAAATAACACCTTAGCACGTATAGAATTCAGAAGGAAGGTACCTGTTACTATGTATGGCGATGCCTCTGCCTCATTTTTTGTCATCTGGAAGGACCGTCCCCGTGCCCCTCCTTGCCCTCCACTTGTTACAGTAGGTGTTCCCCGAGTTCCTGACACATTACTTCCCATTGTCAACTGTGGAGTTCTCAACAACGGACAGTTTGGTTGTATATGGTCTGGGAAATTGCAATTGAAACACCTTCGGTTGGCTGGGCAACTCCTTGATAGATGGTCCGCTTCACCACACTTATAACACTTCATTGGGTTCATCTTACATTCACCCTGATGAACCTGTTGACATTGTGTACATACTTTCTCACTGACCTTTTGTTCAACTCTATTATCATATTTTACTGTTTTTGTCCCTCGAAAGTGTGATGAAGGCCCTTCTCATCTCCTTTTCTCCACAACTTTACCCTCTGATTGCCGGTTCTTATTTCGTTCTGTAACTTCTACTGCATCCACGGCTAGTGAAAGGTATTGGGATTCGTAGCAATTACAAATTCACGTATTGAAGGTTTCAATCCCCAGATATACCTTTCCACCTTTCTGGATTCTGATGAAATATAATGTTTAGCAAATCGAGAGTATTCAATAAACTTCTTAGTATATTCTCGAATTGTTCCATTTCCCTGTTCCAATTTCAGAAAATCTTCTTCCATTTGTCGTACAACCATCTTAGGCAGAACTGATCCTTGAATCGGTTCACAAATTCCGTCCAAGATAATGTCTGTAAGATATCTGTTCTGGCTAACAATTCAACTTCCTACCAAAACAGAGCATTTGACTTCAATACTGAGACAGCAAATCCAACTTTATCAGTTTTTGGGCATCTGATGGTGTTGAATACAGATTCAATTTCCTTGATCCAGCACATGGCTTTTACTGGATCCCTCTATCTAGAAAAAGTTGGCAGTTTGCATGCCAAGAACATCTTGATGTCTCCTTCCTTGTTATGAGTGACCGGAATAGAGGGATGTACTTCCACTCTTTCTGTTTCCACTCTAGCCGGTATTCCCATAATAGACGTTAAGGTTTCTCGTTACTTTCCCATTTCCTCTCCTAGCATATCTCTGGTTATATATTCTGGGTGTGGCTCTGATCTTTCCTGGACATTCCCAGAATGGGATTCTTCATGCTAAGAATGTACTTCAGTTAGACCCCTTCCCTGTGACTGACTTCTCCCTCTGCCTTTTCCTCTGGTTCTCCCTCGACCTCTATTTCCAGAAGTACTTGTTGGAAGATTAGCAGGTGATTCCTCTCTTTCCTCAGACAATGGACGGGCTATTCTTTCAAATCATCGTGTTCGACTAGACATCTGCAGATTTTAAAGTTAATAATCACGTATTCACATTCCCAAATATAATCAAGTATTCAAGTTCAGATATGTACCTGTAAATTCATAATTACACTGGCCATATGTGAATAAAATTTACCTTACATACTGTACTTTCAACTCATCATATTTATTTCCAATGGTGCTAACTATGTTCGGGACCCTTAACATGCAATGAAATAGTTTAAGTCTAGGTATCATGCTGTTAAATACCTCAATCCCTTAAACTCAGGCTCTGATACCACTTTCTGTAACACCCCAATCCACACATTGCATGTCACATATACTTCATATACAAGGAATACATGTTTATACACCACATATGTCCCTTAGTACAAGAATCTACCAATATACAGAATACATGCTCCAAAAATTTAAAATACAATTCTTGTACTATTCCACATTCTCTTAACAAAACTATACATAACATAGCCACATCTTCCAGCAATTATGCACATAGGAAAAAAATATTATATTTTCCTCTTGCCCTTACCATCTGCATTTCTTGCAATACATATTTAAAATCACAAAACGAGACTTAGACCAAAAGGTCTAGTGAGTTCCCCTTTTGTGTTATTGCAGGGTGAAAATCACCAAATCTTTTATTTAAAACAATGTTTCATATAAATAACAAATATATGAACAAACACATCATATTACCAATACCGTTTCAATTAACACAAGGTTTATGTAAAGTTTAAGGCCGAACCTATTATTTTCTCCTCATTAACATCCAGACTACGATTTCCAATAAGAATTGTGATTCTAAATCTTTAAATCACAAAAAAATAAAGATTCCAAATCACAGTAATCTTAAAGGATATAATAGTAAGAGTTATATTACACATCACACATACAAATGCCACCCTTATATCCAAAGGTACACCTCTCCTTGATATGTCACCCTTATCCCGTAGTACACCTATTCTTGATATGCCACCCTTATCCCATTGTACACCTCTCCTTGATATGCCACCCTTATTTCCTCATCAAAACATTTTTCATAAAACAATTCCAATTAGAACAGACCGCAGTCATAAATGTTCAAATGGAATATCATCAGTTCAAAATCGTTTTTATCAAAATCCCCATCTTTATACAAGAATATTAAAATAACAATTTGTATAAATAATACATAAGATAATGCACAAATCCGGTCAACACAGACTTGGCTAGACCTCATCTCTGGTCAAGCTTTGGCCGGTTAACCAATCCAGACAACACTATTTAAGTTGTCGGATTTACTAATCCGGATAAAACAAGTCTCTCTCTTGTCCGATTTATTAATCCGGACAGCTCTCTCAGGCTTGTCCGATTTATCAATCCGGACAGCTTCCAAAGCCTTGTTCGATTTATATATAAACTGATCACCCTTTAAGCGTATTCCTACTTCTCCGTTAAAAGCACTTAATAGAAATTCAAAGTTCAAAAATCACCCAACACATAAACCGGGGAACACATCAATCGGATTACCCTTAAACCTGATGAGACTATGTCCTGTTTTTTCTAGTCCGGACAACACTCATCCGATTTGTTCTTTAAACCGGGTGAAAGATTATTTCAACAATTATACATTTTAAGAAATTATAAAACATATAAACCACTCACCTTTACTTTGAAAGGCAACTTCTTGAAACACCAATTTGAACTTCACTCAAGAAACAATCCGGTCAATCCTTCTTTCTCTTAAATCGCACACTATCTTTGAAAATAGCAAGAAGAGTGCAAATGGAAGCTTAGCCTTCCTTTTATACCATTCTAAAAGGAGTTTGGCGGCTAAACCGCCCTTTTTCCATTAATGCATACATACACCTTAATTACCTCATGCATGATATCACACATACATGCATGTGTTTTATATTACATGTATTCATTTACTCATGCATACCTACATACATCCAGTCTCATGCATGTATCCATATTATGCATACAACTTTTATGCATAAAATTCACATATTCGCATGACCAAATATAACAATTTATCATGTTGTCACATAATCATTTATCAAATAATCACATAATAATTACCTTAGGTGATAACCAGAATCCGATTATCACATGGACCATGTGGTGAAGAAAACATTAATTGTACATGCATGATTGATTGGAAGTGCTCAAAAAAGTACCTGGAGAAATTTTATGAACACACTTCAATTGATGTTAATGGTTATCATGTATACCGCAGACGAGTTGATGGATGTTTTATTGAAAAATTAGGTGTTAAACTAGACAACAGAAATGTCGTTCCATATAACAAACATCTGTTGAAAAGATATCAAGCACACATCAATGTTGAGTGGTGCAATCAGGTATGTTAATTCTATATCTTAAGCATAGAGTTATACAACTATTATTAGCCACTATGGTTGTTATTAAATTGTATCTACTTTTAATTTCATGTATTAACTGTTTACATTTATATTATCTTGTTACAGGTATATCTCTCAATGCAGAACAAGTGAAGAATCTAACTTTGTTCAAAATTGAAAAGATTTTGCTCCGTAAGAATTCCACGTTGAAAAACTTCAATACTCTGCCTTATCCTGATAATGATTCGCTTGAATCTTCAAACAACCGTTTGATTGCAGAAGAACTGGATTATAACCATCATAATTTACGTGATGAGTTTCAGACACCTGTAAATGCTCTAACAAATGAGCCAAGAGGTGTGTATAACAAAATCATGATTGCGGTTGAAAAGAAAAAAGGTGGTGTGGTTTTTGTTTATTGGCATGGAGGAACAGGTAAAACATTCCTATGTAAGACCTTGGCTGCATCAATAAGATCTAAAGGAGAAATTGTTTTAAATATTGCTTCCAGTGGAATTGCATCTGTACTTCTTAGCAGTGGCAGAACAGCACACTCTTAGTTTCAAATCCCACTCATTCTCAATGAAGATTCTCTTTGCCACATGAAGCCAGACAGTGATGTTGCGAGCTTAATAAAGAAAACTACTTTGATAAAATGGGATGAGACACCAATGGTTCATAAGCATGCATTTGAAGTATTAGATAGAAGTATGAACGATATTTTCAATACTCATCGCAGTGGTGACTCACATATGCTTTTTGGGGGTAAGGTAATTGTTTTTGGAGGAGATTTCAGACAGATTCTGCTGGTTATTCCCAATGCAGGTAGACAAGACATCGTAAATGCATCATTAAGTTCATCATACATTTGGGACAAATGCAAAGTCCTAAGGTTAACTAGAAAAATGAGGCAAACTGCAAACAGTGAGAGTTCAGAAATTGAACAAACAAGGGATTTTGCAAAATGGATTTTGGACATAGTAGAAGGAAAAGTTGGAGGTGATAATGATGGTGAAGCAGTTATTGAGATACCTCATGATCTTCTCATTACCGATCACGTCAATCTTATATCTGCATTAATCGAATTCGTCTATCCCTCAATTCTTGAAAACATCAATGACTCAGCTTATTATCAAGAACGAGCAATACTTGCACCAAAAAATGAAGTCGTTCAAGAAATAAATGATCGTTTGCTGTCATTGTTTCTAGGAGAAGAAAAAGAGTACTTAAGTTCATATACGCTATGTGAATCAGAGCACCTTCATGATGAGTTTGATAAAAATTTGTACTCTCCTGATGTTTTAAATGGTCTTAAATTATCGGGAATACCAAACCATAAGATTTTACAAAAAGTTGTTGTTCCTATCATGTTACTCAGGAATATTGATCAGAAATCTGGATTATGTAATGCTACTAGACTGCGGGTGTTAACATTGGGAAATCGAGTAATAAAAGCACAGGTTATATCTTAAAGCAATATTGGAAGCCGTACATTTATTCCAAGAATGTGCTTAACACCTACACACAAAAGGATACCATTCAAATTTCAAAGAAGACAGTTTCCAATTGATGTATGTTTTGCCATGACTATTAATAAGAGCCAAGGACAATCATTATCAAAAGTTGGTTTATTTCTAAGACAATTGGTCTTCACGCATGGTCAGCTATATGTTGCTGTATCCAAAGTCAAAAGAAAGCAAGGTTTGAAAGTACTAATTATGGATGATGATGGTATTATTGATAGTAAAACAACGAATGTTGTATACAAAGAAGTCTTTAGTAATATATGATACATGGTTCTTATTTTATTAATGTTTTACCTATTTATCTTAAATTTGTTCAGTTTATATTATGTTATAAATTTTCTTTTACAACTTCATCTTATTAACTCGTATTATTATTAATTCTTAAGAGGCTCAATTTTCATTTATGTTCTTCATTATAATTATCCGACCATAGAGGACCTGCATGTGCTACGCAGATTCTCTCACCCCGATTTTGTGCTTCATATCGAGCTTTAGAGAGGGACTGCATGTACTATGTAGAGCCTCTGACTAAACTTCCGTGTTTCATACAGAGCTTTAGAGAGGTACTGTAGAAGCCACGCAGCACCTCTTTGCCTGATTTCGTGCTCCATGCAGAGCTACACAGCAGCTCTGTATCTGCAACGCAGAGCCTCTGCCTACGAAAAATTTATACAAACTTGTAGTGTTGACTAATTTTAGCAACTAACTCTTGAAAAGAACTTCAGACTTGTAGCCAGATTGGTCGTCTTGATTTAGAAATCTTTATGATCATCGAAATACAGGACGACCGTGTATATGCCAACCTTAACTTATCTGTAACAGCTCTGTCTCCGCATGTACTAGGCAGAGCCTCTCAACATGACTATGTGCTTCGTACAGAACATCATGGAGGTTCTGCATAGCATCTGATCTTGATTGCTTGCTTCAGGCAGACCGACACAGAGGCTTTGCAGCTACACTTTGGAACCTATGTTTATGGAAGGATCATTCAGACGTGTGATTCTAAGTAACCTAGACTTCAACTCTGGACAAGTACTCTAGTCTTGAATTTTTCATGAAAATAGTTATTTACAAGGCGGGATGCAAAGCTTATGAAACCACGTGCTTCCTCCCCACAGGATTAGGAATAACCGTGTAAGTTGTTGATCCTTCAGGCCGATTTCCACTCAAGTGTCTATTAGTAAATTTATATATAAATTACCATTTATCTCCAAAATTAAATTTATTATATTAATAGTTTACTTATTTACCTTTCGTTTGTTTAGTTTATGCTCTATTATAGATTTTGTTTTACAGGTTCCTCATATTTACTCTTATTATTATTATTAATTCTTTAGATGGTCATTTTTCTTTTATGTTCTGCATTAAAATTATCCGGACATAGACACTCTGCATGTACTACGTAGCTCCTCTGAGCCTCACTTCGTACTTCACAGAGAGCATTAGAGAGGCTCTTTATGTACTACGCAGACCCTCTGAGCCTCACTCCATATTTCATACAGCTCTTTACAAAAGAACTGCAACAACTACACAGCGCCTCTGTCCCTGATTCTGTACCTGATGCAGAGCTACAACGCAGAGCATCTTTCTACCAAAAATTTAATCGTACTTGTACCTTTGTCTAAGCTTATAAATTACCTCCGATTATTAATTCTTTATAAAATACATATCAGATTCGCTTAATTTTTTTAATTAACCCGTGTAATACACGGATCCGAACCTAGTGATTCGTACAGAGCTTTAGAGAGGTATTGTAGAAGCCACACATCACCTCTTTGCCTGATTCCGTGCTTCATGCAGAGCTACACAGCAGCTCTGCATCTGCAACGCAGAGCCCTGCCAACGAAAAATTTATACAAACTTGTAGCAATGACTAATTTTAGCAAGTAAATCTTGAAAAGAAGTTCAGACTTATAGCCAGATTGGTCGTCATGATTTAGAAATCTTTATGATCATCGAAGTACAGGACGACCGTTGTATATGCCAACCTTATCTCATCAGTAACAGGTATGTCTCTGCATGTACTAGGCAGAGCCTCTCAGCATGACTATGTGCTTCATACAGAGCTTAATGAAGGTTCTGCATAGCATATGATCCTGATTTCTTGCTTCATGTAGACCGACACAGAGGCTTTGCAGCTACACTGTAGAACCTATGTTTACGGAAGGATCATTCAGACGTGTGATTCTGAGTAACCCAGACTTCAACTCTCGACAAGTACTCTAGGCTTGTCTTTTTCAAGAAAATAGTTATTTACAAGGCGGGATGCAAAGCTTAAGAAACCACGTGCTTCCTCCCCACAGGATTAGGAATAACAGTGTAAGTTGTCGATCCTTCAGGCCGATTTCCACTCAAGTGCCTATTAGTAAATTTATATTTATATTACCATTTATCTCCAAAATTACATTTAATATATTAATAGTTTACTTATTTACCTTTTGTTTGTTTAATTTATGTTCTATTATAGATTTTGTTTTACAGGTTCCTCATATTTACTCATATTATTATTAATTCTTTAGAGGGTCATTTTTCATTTATGTTCTGCATTATAATTATCCTGACATAGACGCTCTGCATGTACTACGTAGTTCCACTGAGCCTCACTTCGTACTTCACTGAGAGCATCAGAGAGGCTCTGTATGTACTACGCAGACCCTCTGAGCCTCACTCCATATTTCATATAGAGCTTTACATAGGAACTGCAACTACTACACAGCGCCTCTGTCCCTGATTCTATACCTGATGCAGAGCTACAACGTAGAGCATCTTTCTACCAAAAATTTAATCGGACTTGTACCTTTGTCTAAGCTTATAAATTACCTCCAATTATTAATTCTTTATAAAATACAAATCAGTTTTGCATAATTTTTTTAATTAACCCGTCTAATACACGGGTCCGAGCGTAGTGTTTCATACAGAGCTTTAGAGAGGTACTATAGAAGCCATGCAGCATCTCTTTGCCTGATTTCATGTTTCATACAGAGCTACACAGCAGCTCTGCATCTGCAACACAGAGCCTCTGCCAACGGAAAATTTATACAAACTTGTAGCGTTGACTAATTTTGCAACTAACTCTTGAAATGAACTTCAGACTTGTAGCCAGATTGGTCGTCATGATTTAGAAATCTTTCTCATCATCGAAATACTGGACGACCGTTGTATATGCCAACCTTAACTCATCAGTAACAGCTCTGTCTCTGAATGTACTAGGCAGAGCCTCTCAGCATGACTTTGTGCTTCATACAAAGCTTCATGGTGGTTCTGCATAGCATATGATCCTGATTCCTTGCTTCATGCAGACCGACATAGAGGTTTGGCATCTACACTACAGAACCTATGTTTACGGAAGGATCATTCAGACGTGTAATTCTGAGTAACCTAGACTTCAACTCTGGACAAGTAGTCTAGGCTTGACTTTTTCAAGAAACTAGTTATTTACAACGCGGGATGCAAAGCTTATGAAACCACGTGCTTCGTCCCCAAAGGATTAGGAATAACCGTGTAAGTTGTCGATCCTTCGGGTCGATTTCCATTCAAGTGCCTATTAGTAAATTTATGTTTAAATTACAATTTCTCTCCAAATTTAAATTTATTATATTAATAGTTTACTTATTTACCTTTCTTTTGTTTAGTTTATGTTTTATTATAGATTTTGTTTTACAGGTTCCTCATATTTACTCATATTATTATTAATTCTTTAGAGGGTCATTTTTTACTTATGTTATACATTATAATTATCCGGACATAGACGCTCTGCATGTACTACGTAGCTCCTCTAAGCCTCACTTCGTACTTCAATGAGAGCATCAGAGAGGCTCTGTATGTACTACGCAGACCCTCTGAGCCTCACTCCGTATTTCATACAGAGCTTTACAAAGGAACTGCAACTACTACACAACGCTTCTGTCCCTGATTCTATACCTGATGCAGAGCCACAACACAGAGCATCTTTCTTCCAAAAATTTAATCGGACTTGTACCTTTGTCTAAGCTTATAAATTACCTCTGATTATTAATTCTTTATAAAATACATATCTGTTTCGCTTAATTTTTGTAATTAACCCGTGTAAAACACGGGTCCGAACCTAGTGTTTCATACAGAGCTTTAGAGAGGTACTGTAGAAGCCACACAACACCTCTTTGCCTGATTCCGTGCTTCATGCAGAGCTACACAGCAGCTTTGCATCTGCAACGCAGAGCCTCTGCCTACGGAAAATTTATACAAACTCGTAGCATTGACTAATTTTAGCAACTAACTCTTGAAAAGAACTTCACACTTGTAGCCAGATTGGTCGTCATGATTTAGAAATCTTTATGATCATCGAAATACAGGACGACCATTGTATATGCCAACCTTAACTCATCGGTAACAGCTATGTCTCTGCATGTACTAAGCAGAGCCTCTCAGCATGACTCTGTGCTTCATAAAGAGCTTCATGGAGGTTCTGCATAACATCTGATCCTGATTCCTTGCTTCATGTAGATCGACACAGAGGCTTTGTAGCTACACTGCAGAACCTATGTTTACGGAAGGATCGTTCAGACGTGTGATTCTGAGTAACCTAGACTTCAACTCTGGACAAGTACTCTAGGCTTGACTTTTTCAAGAAAATAGTTATTTACGAGGCGAGATGCAAAGCTTATGAAACCACGTGCTTCTTCCCCACAGGATTAGGAATAACCGTGTAAGTTGTCGATCCTTCGGGCCGATTTCCACTCAAGTGCCTATTAGTAAATTTATATTTAAATTACCATTTATCTCCAAAATTAAATTTATTATATTAATAGTTTACTTATTTGCCTTTCGTTTGGTTAATTTAGGTTCTATTATAGATTTTGTTTTACAGGTTCCGCATATTTACTCATAATATTATTAATTCTTTAGAGGGTCATTTTTCATTTATGGTCTGCATTATAATTATCCGGACATAGACGCTCTGCATGTAC